TGTATTAAAAAGTGTAGAAGATACACAATGGAAAATGGAAAAACACGTGTGACATCGTCACAACATCGGCATAACTTGACACGTGGTTACCGGGGGAGGTCAGCTAGTTTCTCGGAACAGATGGGACATGGCTGTTTCTCATAAAATAAAATAGAATAAAATAAAAGGGGGATATAGCCGCACCCGGCCTTGTAGGCATAATATTGTTTTCTTTCAATAGATAAGGCAAAGGGCCTCTTTATTTTTTGGGCTTTCCAGGTTCAGCATTTTGGAGGAAAAGAGGAGAAAATCTATCCTTCTATATTTTATTTATCTAGATCAACGTAAGATTAAACAACCGTTGTGCTACAACAAGCACTTCATCACATACTCCTTCCATTTCTAAATATAAGGTTTTTTAGATATTTGAATACGGACTACATACAAATGTATATAGACGCATTTTAGATTGTAGAATCAATCATTTTGCTCCATATGTAGTATATATATTGAAATCTCTAAAAATATTTATATTTAGAAACGGAAGGAGTAAATGCCTTATTAAAACATGTTTTTATTGACAAGACAGCTTACAAGTGCTCCCACCATACAGTATGTGTGGTAAGCAACTTCTTAATGGAAGCTTAGTTATGATGATATAGGCCGTTAGATCTACTTTACAAAATTTATGATGATTGTTAGGTTGGGAACATGCGCTTTGCATGCCATTTTGCAGCAACAAGGCACGCATGACTTGTGAACGAGCACATAATGCCAGTTGGCCAATTCAACGGAGGTCTCTATCGACAGGAACATAACCAGACCATATGGTTTTCCAACATCGGCCGTCTCAGATTGTGTGGATGCACAAGAAACGCACGTGTGTTATCACTCATTAATTCATGTATCGAGACTTTCATGTCTATTTCTTCTTGCGACCATAGAGTTAAGAGTTTGAGGAGTGTGTAGAATTGTAGATGCGGTAGCCACTAGGTCACCGGTGTGGACTGAGACAGGCCGATTCTTGTCGGACCAAGACGTCAATACAAGAGCCAGGTAACTTCATGGCTTGTACCTAGTTCAATTGTTTATACTTTATTAAGCAATTTTTCTTACCTTGGCTTGCATTTTAGATA